CCCTCCCCCCCCCCCCGACCCCCACCTCCGAGGCCTCCCATCTCGGTCAGGGGGCAGAATGGTGAGGGCGGCTTTGGGTCCCCTCAGCAGCGCCCGCAGCTGCCGCGTGCTGATTTTGGGGAGGGGGCTGTGAGCCACCCGCAGCACTCGAGCCCCCCGCCGCAGCCCGGCCACCTCGGCGAAGGAGAAGCGCTGCACCGCCGTCACCACGCCGTCGCCGGAGATCCGGAAGCCCAGGCGGCCGCCGGCACCGCGGGGCAGCGACAGCTCCAGGACCTCACAGCCACGGGTCACTGCCTGCGGGATCCACGCAGAGCCCATGGGGAACCCAAAAGGAACACGATGGGGAACCAACCCAGAACCAATGGGGAACCCAAAAGGAACACAATGGGGAACCCAAAAGGAACACAATGGGGAACCAACCCAGAACCAATGGGGAACCCAACATGGAACCCAGCATGGAGCAGCGACAGCTCCAGGACCTCACAGCCACGGGTCATTGCCTGCGGGAACCACGCAGAGCCCATGGGGAACCCAAAAGGAACACGATGGGGAACCCAAAAGGAACCCAATGGGGAACCCAACATGGAACCCAATGGGGAACCCAACATGGAGCAGCGACAGCTCCAGGACCTCACAGCCACGGGTCACTGCCTGCGGGATCCACGCAGAGCCCATGGGGAACCAACACAGAACCAATGGGGAACCAACACAGAACCCAAGGGGGAACCCAATATGGAACCCAATGGGGAACTGACAGAACCCAATGGGGAACCAACCCAGAACCAATGGGGAACCCAACATGGAACCCAGCATGGAACCCAGCATGGAGGATCCAATGGGGAACCAACCCAGAACCAATGGGGAACCCAACATGGAACCCAGCATGGAACCCAATGTGGAGCAGCGACAGCTCCAGAACCTCACCTGCCTGTGGGGGAACCCACACAGAACCAATGGGAAACCCAATATGGAACCCAATGGGGAACCAAGACAGAACCCAATGGGGAACCCAACATGGAACTCAATGGAAAACCAACACAGAACCCAGGAACCCAACACAGAACCCAATAGGGAGAACCCAACACAGAACTCAGGAACCCAACACAGAACCCAGGAACCCAACACAGAACCCAACACGGAACCCAATAGGGAGAACCCAACACAGAACCCAGGAACCCAACACAGAACCCAACACGGAACCCAATAGGGAGAACCCAACACAGAACTCAGGAACCCAACACAGAACTCAGGAACCCAACACAGAACCCAACACGGAACCCAGAAACCCAACATGGAACCCAACACGGAACCCAACACAGAAAACCCAACACGGAACCCAACGTGGAGCACCCAACACAGAACCCAGTGCGGAACCCACCCCCCACAGCCCCCCAGCCCCATCGCCCCCCTCCCTTCGCCCCCTCCCCACACCCACCTGCAGCCTGGCCACCACCTGCTCGGCTTCTCCATGGGGCAGCCTCAGCCCCACGCTCTCCCCCGCCCCATAGAAGATCTCGACTCCTCCATCCACGTAGGCCCAGCCCAGGACGTCCCTGCACGCAGCGCTCAGCAGCACCCGCCCCTCCTGGGGGGTCACCAGGACCACCCTCTCCGCCGCCACCCCCAACAAACACGCCGTCTCCTCTCCCCCCTCCCCCCCGACCCACGCCTTCGCCCCCCACACCAACGCCCCCCCGACCACCGCGTCGCCCCCCGCGGTGACCCCCGCCCTCCGGCGGACCCCCAGGACCGGGAGGCCGCGGGTGGGGGCTGCGGGGGGGGGTCCGTTGGCGTGGGAGCGGGCGAGTTCGCGGAGGTACTGGTGGCGGGTGCGGGCGGCCATGGCCCCCAGGCGGCCCCCCCGGGAGGCGGCGTTTTCACCGTTGATGGCTTTGGCCAAAAGGAAATGGCGGAGTTGGGGGCCTCGGGGGAAGCGCTGCCCCACGGCGATGGGGGGGCCGAAGGGGGGGGTGTCGTCCGAGCGGGTCACTGCCACGCTGTTGGGGGGGGTAGGGGGTAAGTGGGGGAGTGGGGTGAGGTGGAGCCACCCCGATGGGGACAGCCCACAGGGACACCCCAGCCCCACAGTGACACCCCTGCCCCATAGGAACGCCGCATACAGACAACCCATAGGGACACCCCAGCCCCACACGGACACTGTAGCCCCATAGGGCGCTCCCTAGAAACACCCCAGCCCCATAACGACACCACACACAGATGCCTCAGCCCCACAGGGACACCCCACAGGGACACCCCAGCCCAAAGGGGACACCCCAATCCCACAGGGACCCCCCAGCCCCACATGGACATCCTGGACTCACAAGGAGGCACCCCAACTCCACATTGACACCCCAGCCCCATAAGGACACCCCACAGGAACCCCCCAGCCCCACAGGGACATTATATAGGGATCCCTCAGCCCCACACAGACACTGCACAGAGACACCCCAACCCCACGTTAACACCCTATAGAGACAACCCAGCCCCACAGGGACACCACAAAGAGACACCCTGGCTCTACAGGGACCCCCAGCCCCACAGGGGCACCACAAAGAGACACCCTGGCCCTACAGGGACCCCCACCCCCACACGGACACCCCACAGGGACATCCCAACCCCACACCAACAGCCCACAGAGACACCCCATCCCCACATTGCCACCCCATAGAGACAACCCACTCCCATCCTCCTCCCACCCCCCACCTGTAGGACGTGTGGGGCGTGCAGGGCTGGTGCACTCGCACGACGATGAAGACGTGCTGGAAGTGGGAGCGGATGGCGCGGGGGGAGAAGGGCAGCGCCCCAGGCTCCTGGAAGACGATGGTGACGATGTCGTTCCCGATGTGCCGCTTCCGCAGGAGCTGCCGTGGGGAACAACGGGGTGGGGGGGGGTTATATGGGGTGGGTTTGGAACCCCATAGATGTGCCCGACCCCCCCGGATGCAGCCTGAGCCCCACGGACCTGCTGGGGGTTGGTGGGGGTGAAGGGCAGCATGGTGCTGACGTGGAACATCACCTCGTAGCCGTGGTACGTGGTGTAGAGCGAATGCGTCCCCGTCGAGTCGGCTGTGGGGCACGGCCGTCCTCATGGCCCCAT